TTTGATATGAACAGATAACTTGTATGAGTTTTAATTTTGCTCAAGGGAATATTCGAATCTAAAAGTTCTTTCTGCAATATTTAAGCAGATTGTGACAGAAGAGGAGTGATAGAGCAGCTGGGTGGACATCTGCATCCAGCCAAGGTCAACCCACCACAGCCAGGTAGCATTAGCAGTCATCCTGGGCCAAGTAATACAAAAACTGATACAGGACTTTAATGATAAAGAATTCACATCTGTCCGTATGGTTTTATGAAAAGTAAATTTTGTTATATGGGGGGGGCAGTAATTGAAAAAGACAGTTGATAAATACGATAATTTAGATGTGCCTAGAATTATTTCAGTGCTTGGCTCTTAATTGTCACCTTAAGTATCAGATTGCTCTCATCAAAACATGAACATTATGCAGTATCACCAATAAAAAGTTTAGGAACCGACCAAAAAGCTCAAAATAGTTTCCATTAGGAAGTCATTGTGGAATAGGAATGTTATTGGAGAAGTTAGTGACACTTGGTCTTAAATTAATATTTTTATTCAGTGTGCAAAATATTCAGATCATAGCTACAGAATTCAGATGAGCTTAGCTTGTTTTCAACATCTGTCAATGTTCTAAAATACATACTATGCTGTGAGTGTTGTGTAAATGTGTTGCGTCTTTTGGCTGAGGAGAAAGTCTGCAAACAGAAGGGACAGTAATTACTGACTATATCATCTACACCTGTTAAAAGCAAATACAAAAAACATATTGATTTTTGGTATGGGAAATAATGCCTTACATGATGTTTTCAGGAACTTTAAACTTAGCTTTTTGTGTAATATTTTTCAGATAAGGTAGTGCAGATTAAAAGATAAATCAAAGAGGGTTGTAGTGCTACTTAATATGGGAAGCATTTGGTTATCCTCTCTCTCTAATCTTTGAATTTCTGTTTGGGTAATGCCATGGTCGGTCTCATTTTTAGGATGTAAATTGTTCCTGTAATATCACAGAATCAAAGAATCACAGAATATGGTGAGTTGAAAGGGACTCACAAGGATCATTGAGTCCAACTCCTGCAGAGGACCCCTCCCAAAAGTCATACCATATGCCTGAGAGTATCATCCAAATGGTTCTTGAACTCTGTCAGGTTTGGTGTTGTCTGTCCCCTGGGAAACCTGTTCCGGTGCCCAACCACCCTCTGGGTTGGAGAACCTCTTTGTAACATCCAGCCTAAACCTCCCTGACAACCCTTCAGGCCATTCCCTTGGATCCTGTCACTGGTCACCTCAGAGAAGAAATCAGTGCCTGCCTCTCCTCTTCCCCTCACGAGGAAGTTGTAGACTGCAATGAGGTCTCCTCTCAGTCTCCTCTCCTCCAGGCTGAACAGACCAAGTGAGCTCAACCACTCCTCAAACGGCTTCCCCTCAAGGTCCTTCACCATCTTTGTTGCCCTCCTTTGGAGGCTCTCTAATAGCTTAAAGTCTTTCTTATATTGTGGTGCCCAAAACTGCACACAGTATTCAAGGTGAGGCTGCACCAGTGCAGAGCAGAGCGGGACAATCACCCCCCTTGAATGGGCTGGAGATGCTTTGCCTGATGACATAGTCAACTTGCTGTTAACCAGGACCCCCAGGTCCCTTTCTGTGGCACTGCTTTCCAGCATCTCATTCCCCAGCCTGTACAAACATCCAGGGTTGCCCTATCCTAGGTGCAGAATCCGGCATTTTCCCTTGTTGAACTTCAAATGGTTGGTGATTGCCTGGCCCTTGTTAGGGTCTCTCTGCAGCGCCTCCTTGCCTTTGAAGGAGTCAACAGCTCCTCCCAGTCATTTGCAAACTTGCTTAGTATCCCTTCCAATCCTGTGTCCAAGTCATTTATGAACATGTTGAAGAGCACAGGGCTGAAGATAGAGTCCTGTGGAACCCCACTAGTGACAGGTCACCAGTCTGATGTTACTCCACTGTGTTACCCTCTGTGCTTGACCCGTGAGCCAATTGCTCACCCACCATGTGATTTGTTTATCCAGCTGTGTGCTGTCCAGAAGGATTCCTGTGAGAGACAGTATTGAAAGCTTTACTGAAATCCAAAAAGATTACATCAACTGGCTTCCTCTGATCAACCAGGTGGGTTACTGTGTCATGGAAGAAAATCAGGTTTGGTAAATAGGACTTTCCTCTCATGAAGCTGTGCTGGCTGTGACCAATGACAAAATTGTCTCTCAGGTGTTTTTCAACACCTCCCAGAATAATCTTCTCCATAAAATTACCAGGCACTGAAGTAGACTGACAGGCCTGTAGTTTCCAGGGTCCTCTGTGCCCTTCTTGAAAATTGGGACAATGTTTGCCAGCTTCCAATCAGCCGGGACCTCTCTGGATTCCCAAGACTGCTCAAAAATCATCGAGAGAGGTTTTGGGAGATCAGCCAGCTCTTTGAGGATTCTGGGATGAATCTCATCAGGCCCCACAGATTTGTACAGATCCAGCTGGAGCAGCAGATCCCATACAATTTCAGGGTCGACTGGGAGTTGATCATTCTTGCAGTCATGGTCCTCCAGCTCAGGGCACTGAGACCTCCTTGGTCCATCATCTGTGTTGAAGACAGAGGCAAAGAAAGCATTAAACATCTCTGCCTTGTCTCTGTCCCTGTTTGTGAGGTGACCATCCTCTCCTGTAATGGGACAATGATATTTCCATACTGCCTATTGCCATTAATGTATTTGAAAAAACTCTTTGTATTGTCCCCCAAGTATTGATGGAGGGGTATAAACATAAGGCATACAGGCCAATGTGGTCAGCCATATGTTCCATTTATTATTTAATTAAGTCAACTTTTATACAGTTTAGTTTGTTTGGGGCACATGCTTACAACAAGGTGATTGGATAGCTCAGACTGTACACGCGCCTCATGTCTCCAGTTCATTGGACCTGATGTTCTGTCCACGCGATCTGAAGTCATAGTTGGAATGTAGAGGCCTTCCTAATTAGGAACTTTCTGAAATCTGCAGGTGCACCCTTATCTATACTTTCTCAAGGCTTTCTTGCTCTAAACATACTATGTTCTCAAACCTTATAATTAGACACACAGCTAACAAGTATAAACATTGCATATTTTCACACA